GGCCTGCCTCGCAAGCGCAAGGACCCAGTTCTATCCCCGGTACAAAACAAACAAACAAACAAAAAAAACCTACTTTGTGTGAAATTCTTAGGTAGTAAAACATATGGATTCCTGTTTAGGGCTTGGTATTTATTTATAATCATTTGCTGCTTATTCACCATAGTTAAGTCTAGTTATTGTCTTAAGTGCTTATGCTTATTTTATACAGATATGACTTCATAAAATGATTAATACTTAATAAGTGGCTTAATTGCTGGGGTGCACTTAATGCCTGTTCTCACCCAATCTGGTCATGTTTTAAGATGTAAATATATACTATTAATGCTTGTTTTTACAAAAGAAGTAAAAACAATTATTTTTTTTTAAAAAGTAGACTTGGCAGGCCAGGGATTTAGCTCAGTGGTGCTGCCACCTGCCTCATAAGCACAAGGACCTGAGTTCGATCCCTGATACCAAAAAACAAACAAACAAAACTAGACTTGGAGATTGAGACATGTGCCCCACTGGTTTGCTTCATGTTGAAACACCCTCCACAGTTTAACTTTCAAGTTTAACTCTCAAGATGTCCCCATCTTGGATGTGCAAGCTGACAACCCTGTGATGAGGGAGATAGATCACATGACCTGGGGGAGAAAGTTCTCCAAAAAAACCCCACCAATTTTCTTTCCTGTTAACTCATATTTTGACCTAGTTTCCGGGAAAGTATGCCGTGTAAAAAGAGCCTTTGGTGCTAACCCCATAGCAGTCTCAAGGGGCTGCTGTCACTGGTCCCAGGGTCGGCATCTCCACTAAACACTCTTGACACTCTTCCTTCATCAGGGCCATAGGAGGTGCAGAGCTGTCCCACAGTGGTGTCCTGTGGTGACCAGGATGCGGCCACAGTGCATTGTGGACCCCCACAGGCCACATTCCTTACTTATGAGCCCTATTCAGGCACAGCCACCTGGATGACTAGAAGGATAGGCCCTCCTCCTCAGGAACCTGAATTCCTTGTTTCTGCCCCTTGCTGAGGCCCTCTTTTGGAGCAAAGCCCTTTTTGGCTTCTAGTTTTCTTATGTATGAAATGGCCATGTATTACCTGTTTACTTCATGGGCACAGTATGGTGAAACTGTATCCTCAAGGCAGATTCACCACCACCTCCTCCTCTTCTTCGTTGGGGACTATCCTAGGAACTGCCTTATCAGTGAATGAGAGCGGTAGGGCAGGACTCAGTCTAGACCCCATGCCCTGCGGCAGCTCAGCAGTGTGAGCTCCGGCAGGTCTCAGGCCAGGTGACCAGGGTTCCAATCCCAGCACTGCCAGGTATTGACCCAGTGATGCTGTGGAAGTTAAAGTAGCCTCTCTATTCTTCAGCTCCTCCTCCCTTCCTCAGAGACAATGGGAGCAGACACATCACAGGATTTAAAGCCAATATACTCCAGCATTTTGTGCTTAATACATAAGGAAAATTTGAATGGTAAATGTCATATAATTACTTGCTATTATTTTTCTATGTATTACTCTGAACTCAATTAGCATTTGATTATATAATTCATGGATTATTTTCAGTACTTCCTAAATTCTGAAATAATAAACTTTGCCATTCAAAATCTCCCCTGTTGCTGGGTGTGGTGGCATACACCTATAATTCCAACACTCAGGAGGCCAAGGCAGGAGATCACCTTGAGTTCTGGGTTCAATGCCAGACTGGAATACATAGTGAGACCCTGGATAAAGCAAAAACAAAAACAAAAAAAACCCCAAACTCCTTCCAAAAACCCAAAAACGAAAACCCCAAACACCAAAATCTTTCCTGAGTAATGCTCTTCCATACTTATCTGCTATGTGTTTGAGATTTGAAAAACAAATTGTTTCCTTTAGGAAAGTAAATAATTTGTCAGAAAAGACAAGCCAGGGCAGAGGAATTAGCTCAGTGGTTCCAGCGCCTGCCTCACAAGCACAAGGTCGCAAGTTCGAGCCCTGGTACCAAAAAAAAAAACCAAAAAAAAAAGACAAGCCAATAATCACTCTTCCTGCTTTTTCCCTAGTGAATAAGGACTTCACAAAATGATCATTTGAAAAAAGAGGCAGCTTATTTCTTCTCTATGCCTTGGTCAGACAAAAGGTGGTGTTGATGAGACCACAAGACTCAGAGCACCCCGCAGTGGGGCAGAGCCTTTGCAGCCTTTGGAGTCTATGCTGGTCCACAAGTCCACCTGCTTGGCTGCAATGGTCCTGGGAAGCCGGAGAGGGCCTGACTGGGGATCTTCTGTTTCACTTCCCCTTGGCGGGGCACACTGGCCCTGAGAGACCTGGGGAGTTGATCCTTTGGGGTATCTCACCCTGAACTCAACTTCTGCTTCTCCTACAAGAAGCTGCTGAGCTCAGCTGCTTTGGAGCTAAGGAGTAAGCTCCTCCTAGAAGGAGAATCCTGAAGGGGAGCAGCCCTGTGGGCAAGGTAAGGAGAGGTCTTGACTTCATGAACGTCATGTGTGTGCTTGTCCCATTGCCAAGGTCCCTTGCTACCACTCAGATGTTCTCTTTGCTTGCTGCACAGGAGGATGAGAGAGCCGATAAAGGAGATCAGCCGCCCAGAGTATGGGCTTTCACAGAAGGAACCTGTGGAGGGTGCCAGGGTGCTCTGGAAAGAGCTGCAGCACAACCTTGGGCACTTGCTTCTTGCAAGGTCAAGGTCCATGCCAGCAGCCCTGGGGTGTGAGGGGTAGGCCCCTGGGCCTAAGGGAGGGTGGCGGTTGGCCAAGGGTTCTTCCTGTTTTTAGAAACATCTAGAAAGGAGAAGTACAGCTCAAACTCCCTGCTGCCCATCAGCACCAATCCAACTTCCCCTCCCTACCAGGCTCCAAGTGCTCCCCAGTTCTGCACCTCCCATGACCAGCTGCACCCACCAAGTCAGACCCACAAAAGAGGGAAATGAAGGAGTGTGTATGTGGGGGTGACAGGAAAGAAGAGAAGAGGATTTTAATGAGACTGTATGGAGCAAGGCACAGTAGCACATGTCTGTAATTCCAGCTATCTAGGAGGTTGAGGCAGGAGGATTGCCAACTTTAAGGCTAGCCTAGGTAACTTAGTGAGACTCTCTCAAAATGAAAAATAAAAAGGTCCAAGGATATAGCTCAGTGATAGAACACTTGTCTAGCACATGTGAGGTCCTAGGTTCAAACTCCAATACCACACACACAAAAAAAAAGGACTTTTTTTCCCTCCAGTACTAGGGATTGAACCCAGGGCCTTCACACTGAACTGCATTCCCAGGGCTTTTTATTTTTTATTTTGAGACAAGGTCTCTCTATATAAGTTGCTAAGATGCCCAGGTGCGCTTGAACTGGAGATCTTCCTGTATCAGCCTCCCTCCCAAAGTGCTGAGATTATAGGCATGCGCCACACCACATGTAGGCCATTTACAAATATTAATTCTTCCAACCTTTGGATATGATTTCTAAATAGGACCCCAAAGCACAGGAAACAAAAGCAAAAACTGACAAACGGGATCACATCTAACTAAAAATCTGCTCAGCAAAGGAATCAACTGAGTGAAGAGATAATCCATAGAAGGCAAGAAAATCTTTACATGTTACTAATGTCCAGAATACATAAAGAAGTCAAAAATTTAACAAAAACAAGTAAATTTAAGAATGGGCTAATGATCTGAATAGCTACTTCTCAGAATAAAAGAAAGAAAAATGAGCAATAAATACATGAAAAAGTGCTCAGTATTAACTGTCAGGGAAATACAAATAAAAATTAGAGATTCCATTTTACTGTAGTTAGAATGGCCATTATTAAAAAACAAACAAACAAACAAACAAAAAATGCTGGCAAAGATGTGGAGAAGAGAAACCTTTATACAATTGTTGGTGAGGTGTAAATAGTACAGCCACTATGGATATCTATATGGTGATCCTCAGAAGACTCAACCTAGAACTAGGCTATGATCCCGCTATCCCACTCCTGGGTTATATCTGCAGGAAATGACACCATCAAATGAGAAACACCTGCACACCTCCATTTATTGTGGAACTAGTGACAAGAGATATAGAATCAACCCAGGTGCCCATCAATGGATAAATGGATAAAGAGAACATGGTGTATAAACACAGTGGATTATTAGCCATGAAGAGGAACGAAATTCTGTCTTGCGTAATAAAATAAATGGAATTGGAGGAGACCGTGTTAAACAAAATAAGGCAGATATGAACAAGTCTTGCATGTCATCTCTCTTATGTACAAAGTAAAATAAAAATAAAAACAAGAACGGTTGATGAGGGCTGGGGAAGAAAGAAAGGAAAGAAATGACTAAAGAACAAAAGTAAAGAAAGACCCAGGCATGGTGGTACAAATCTATAATTCCAACACTTAGGAGGCTCAGGCAGGAGGATCACCATGAGTTTGAGGCCAGCCTGGGCTACACAGTGAGTTCAAGGCAAATTTGGAATATACAGCAAGACCCTGCCACAAAACAAAACAAAGGCAGATTAGGAGCCAGGTGTGGTGGTGCATGCTTGTAATCCCAGCTACTTGGGAGGCTGAGGCAGGAAGATTGAAAATTCCAGACCAGCCTTAACAATATAGCCAGATCTTGTTTCAAAATAAAAATCTTTTTAAATGTTGGGAATATAAGTCTACAGCACTTGCCTAAGCATGCATAAGGCCCTGGGTTTAATCCCTAGTACCACCACAACAAAAACAAACCAGAGAGAGAGAGAAGGAAAGGGTATGGGTAGGCAGTCAGAATAGCAGATCCTGTTCCTTATACTCTGCAACCTTAGACTGTCCAGTCCTGGCTTTGCTCTGCCCAGTGGAGCATCAAGCACAGGTATAAATGATAATGCCCTGTGATAGTCTTCTTTGAATATATGACTAGGGTCAGCATATCTTCTATGACTTCTCTTTGCTAGACCTTCTATGTTTTTCTGTTTTGAATTTTTACATATAAGTGGCAATAATTTGGAGAAAAGGTTAAAACAACCTGATCAAAGATTGGCAGTGTGCTGGTCCTTACCGATTCAGAAAAGCATTTCCAAAGCGACTAAGCTTTCGGAACGGCTTCTTGGGGTCCACAACTAAAGCATTCCCTGGGGTGTTGCCCTCTGTGTCCCCATACATCACAGCGATGAAGGAATCAGTGGTGGGCTCTGGGCCAATCCTCATGCCTGGGAAATCCTGCTCCAGTAAGTATCTGGGAGAAGGGAAAAGAAGAGAAAAGAAAGGTTAGCATGTCGCAAACCAGACCAGAAAGTTCCCTGGGGTTACTCATTTCTTAATCATTTAAAAACTGAGAGATATTACCTCTAAGAAAAGAAGAAAGAAATGGCATTTTATTCTTTTGCTAATACAGACTATCCAAAGTTTGAGATCTATTGACTTGCTTTTCCCCAGTGAAGGAGATCAGGCAGGCTTGCAGACTTTCTGGGAGCAATCCTGCTCAGCATAGCCATTCTCGTTTGTGGCTCTGCTGATGATGATGAACACCATTCCATGGGACCATGGCCGCTACTCCTCTGTGCTCTGAGTGGATGAATGAGGCCATTCAGCCAGCCTATACGTGGGGACAGTCTCTGCAGTCCCTGCGCACCAAGAGTCTATGGGCATCGCAGTGCCACACTTACCTGCTCGAGGTCCTGTGAGGCCACAGTCCTGCCCCAGCCCTGCCCACACATGACCCTGCACCTAGGGGGACAGGGACAGGGACAGGGAGGAGACCCACCTGGCTGTCTGAAGCCCCCCATTCCTGCGTGACAATTTAGTTGGTTCTAAACTATTTCTTAGCTTCTAAGAGTCCTGACTGGTCAAATATCACCTGTGACTAGGGAAAGGATTCAATACAGTACTGCCATATTTGTAAGAGTGAAAAGTGAGGCTACTCTTTAAACCTGTTTTCCATATAGATAAAAGGAAAACTGGTTAGCAAGCTACACGCTAAACCTTAATTGATGCCATTGCTAGTTTTAACTTTGCCCACATTTCTACATTTCTGTGAAGCTATGGTGTCCCAGAATAGATATGACTTAAAAGATGTTCCCAAATTAAGAGTAATCATGAAAAAAGATCTGGTAATAGCAACTAACACATTTAGTAAGAAGGCACAAAGCCAGATACTCTCAAATGGGTGATAATATTACCCTCATTTTATAGGTGAGAAAATGGGTATAAGAGAAGCCAGACCACTTGTCCAAAGTCATATAGTAAGTGTTCGAGTACAAATGGAATGCCATCAGCTGGACTCCTGAATTTGTACTGTTCCCGATTTATTTATTTACTTATTTTTAGATGCTGCCCAGGTGCTCTTCTGGGACCAAGTGACTCTCCTACCCCAGCTTCCCAAGCAGCTGGGACTATAGAGGGATCCCACTATGCACGCTGCTCCAGATATTTTTATTTTATTTTTCCAAGATACTTTTAAACTTGGCCTTGAATTAGTGGCTTTCTTACAGAGAGCAGCATGAGAGACATTCAGAGCTCTCATAATGAGGGAAAAGAACTCTCAACCGTCTTTCTTGCATAGTCCTCACTTGTCCAACCACAAGAATCAGTTCCCTGATCTCCAGAGAAAAGGTGGGGTAACAATGGGCTGTTGTTTCAAAATGTGTTCTTAAGGAATTTAAATTGTTTTTCCAAGTCCTTCTCAATCAAAATCTCAGTGCAAGTTGAATATGGTGACACATGCCTGGAATGCTAGCACTCTGCGAGGCTGAAGCAGGAGGATAAGAGTTCGAGCTCCCGCTGGGCAAATGAAGTAACTTAATGAGACTGTCTCAAAATAGAAACAGGTCGAGAGGGCAGGGGATTTAGCTCAGTGGTTTGGTGGCTTGCCTTGCAAGCACACGGACCCAAGTTCAATCCCTGCTACCAAAAAAAAAAAAAAAAAAAAAAAAAAAAAAAAAAAAAAGC